ATGAAACAATAAAATCACCAGGGCTAAAGCCTTTTAGGTCGAGTGAGGAAGGTGAGTTGGAATTGAGTCGTAAACGGACGAATCGGCAACCGACTTGTTATCAGTGATAACAGATAATGGTCCTCAAGGGATCAAGCGGAATCTAGTCCTGACCTTGAATCAGACAACCCAAAGGACCTGTAACACAAGACAGGTTCAATGCCCAGACTAAAATCATCAGCATATGGGGGATACACCTCCATAGCATACCTCCATATAACACTCTCTAGCGCCACCTGTCGAAAATAATATAAATCCTCTGAAAACAGAAAAATTTCGGCAGCGCTTCCCGTATGAAAAGTGCCCTCTCATAATTTATATAAGCCTAGATATGAAATCAGAAATAATCCTTGACTCTGCAAAGTCCAAATTTTGTCTAACTCCCTGAATTAGCAAAATTTTGGGCAGCACTCCCTTTAGAAAAAAAGGATTCCCAGAATTTTACTAAGCCATATATGAAATCTAGACAAGTTGAACTTTTGAGAAGTCAGAAATTTGACTAACTCCCCGGATTAGCAAAACTTTGGGTAGCACTCCCTTTRGAAWAGGAGGCTTTCCAGATTTTTACTAAGCCAGATATAATGAAAGGACAAGTCAAGCTTTGACAAACCCAACTTTTGACTAACTCCCCGAATTAGTAAAAATTTGGGCAGCACTCCGTTTAGAAAAGGAGGTTTTCCAAATTTTTACGAAGTYAGAAAGACAAGTCAAGTTTGGACAAGGCAAAATTTGACAAACTCTTTGGATTTGTAGAAATTTCGGCAGCGCTTCCCGTAGAAAAAGTGGYTTGTYAAGATTTATACAAAGCCAAGTGTAAGAAAARATTCCAGAAAATGCGAAAATGGACCTAAGTAAAAAAAACTTAGCTTAGAAAATGCAGGAATTGAAACGAACTCCTATGGCTCTAGCACGTRGCGAGCGACTAAAATAACTACCTATCAAACTGAAACTCAGACTAAKTAGTAGTCTCACTCAGTCACATGCAGACCAAACCACAAAGGTAAGTACTCTCACCATCTCAAAGTCAACCTCAACAAACAATACTTCATGATCTCTTAATGATTTAACCTATTAACCCTTGCTTACACAAGGCATAGGTCAGGCCGCCTGAACTTACRGAACARCTCAACTTAGCCAGGTCTAAAGTGAGAATACCTAAACTTATAGAGCGTTCTGACTTGGCCAAATATACACAAACAGAGGGCACAACTACCTTTCTCTTCTTRGGGCWYATGACTAGACCACTCTARTCGCCCWRGACTGTTTAAAGTATCCARGTTATAYATATTTATYTTTACCTTTGTCTTTTAAGGCTGCATATRACTGAACTAACTTAAGTTCAGCCTGCCCCAGYTTACCATCAATTTTATTCTTAGTTGTACTCTCTTCAAGTTGTGATACGGTTATAATYAGACCACCTAAWYTTAYAGAWMAGTYTGATTAGCTCRTTCTTAGATARAGTAGTAATAAAGTATAGCCAAATTATAACCATTGGGTTSCAGCATRTGCGAGGCYTTGAGCCAGACCCCCTGAACTTACAGAARGGCCTTAACTCTCTKCYAGATTCGTTTCTATCTGAKCCATTATGTGTGTGGCATCGAGTCAAACCCCCTRAACTTACARAASGGTYTGCCTCTYGCCAARATTAATTCTTCAGAATAAAGAGCAGGAAGAGACGGAGCCTCCTGAACTTACAGAACAACYCGGTCTCCTCGTTCAGAAACCAAAGAAGCAAGTAAAATCCCAATGAAAACAAAGCAACCCAAGGCACCAAAACKTATTGAGCGCCCTGAGTCCTTRGAAAATCAAACACAGTCAAACCCCTCATAGAGCAATTAGGCCACCTGAACTTACAGAACAGCCTGACCCTCCATGCAAACCATATCACTGGGTCTCCCCAAACTTATGAGGACATCYCAGCCTTCARAGTAACCAGACCCCCTAAACTTATAGAAGGGTCTGACTTCTCCATGCAAAACCAAAATAAAACAAMGCACAGGAGTTYCCCAAACTTATGGGGACTCCCCAGCCTTAACGACCMGTCAACCATCATKCAAATCATACCCCCATCCTGCCTTTYCCCTWGATGCARTTYTTTTCAACAGTCTGACTTCATACAACCAACAAAAGTTGAAACTRAGACTTGAGCAKACATTCCTTACTTAGTATTGTTCAGTGTCTTGAAAGTCAAACCAAAAATAAAGTAAGGCTGCACGTCATGTATTCAGTCAAAGATGCATCAGGTAATACAAATAGGGGTTATAGGGTGGGTGTATAGAGGGGAAACGCAAAGGTTACCTGTCAATTCTCTGCCTCYAGAGCCTCGCCTAGGCTCCGGCAGAGCTCCCWCAATCGGTGGGTTGAMTCCTCACAGAGTCTTGATGCGGTCCTACGGGTTGCRATCCCGCCTGYCGCCTTCCCCTCAGAACAGGACTAGACTTAGAGTAAGAAGGGTAGAAAGAGATGGTTTTGAGACTCTCAGATACAAGAGGGGTGCTCTCRRRCTCGCAGGAGAGGGCCTTGTAACCTTCRGCGCCTGAGGGCCCCTCAATGATGGCCAAGTAGCAGCTTGYAGATAAGTCAACTGCCAGAAGTCAAAACCTCTGACAACCCTCCGGATCGCAGCACTATCCTCCTCTAAATGAATCAGCCGTAGTAGCCCGCAACCGTTACAGCCTCTATCTTTACCTGGGTTGAGCCTGCGGTCAACCTCCCGTTGGCCCAGCTGCCATTGTATAGCAGACTGCAATAGTCAGTGGCTGGCGCCGCAGTACTCAATGGAACACAGCAGTCACCAGTTGCGCCCAGCTAACCGAAATTGTACGCCTGCTCATCATGGTCAACGGTATTTGAGCCTAGTCACAAAGGCGCAGCTGCAGCTCGCCCCCAGCCTTCAATAACAGTTTGCATGCAGAATGCAGCTCACGTTCTCTCCTACTAACCTCGCTACCTACCAACCCACCTCGACAGCTAACAGTACCATAGTGTTCGCCCTATACCAACTGTAGAACCCAATACTTCGATCATCCGATTCCTTCGAGAATCGGGTAATCTATTCGTCCTTCCCTCGTTTTGTTTCGTATGTATCTGACGTGAATTTCGCGCCAGATTCACTCGGTCTCCCTTATCCCCCACGCACCACCTTCTCTGTAGTCCTCTTACTCGGCTATCCTAAAGCTACGACTAACCCTTAGATCATACTAATCCCGACTCATACCCTCACTATCGCCTCTTCACTCACTGGCCGTCACTGAGAAAACGAGTGGGCTCGTTAGCCTCACTCCCGTCGTTCCCGCCATCGTCATAGCTCGCGCGCTCGTCTTTCTTCACACCTCCCCTTTTTCTCTCTCGCCGTTCTGACCGCCCTACTGAACTCGCAACAAGCCGAAAACTCGGTTCCGCACCCCTCCCTTTGTGTCGCCCCTGTGCACTACTTTCTCCCCTATCCTTTCCCATATCACTCCCATCGCCAATCCGCCTCCACCATCGACTTCGCCTCGGTCGGAACCCCTCCGAATGGTTATCCCGTCGTCCGATCCTGCAGAGAAGCGAGCGCGCTGCACCTCTCAGCCTGCGCCTCGCCTCCCCTTCTTCACCTTAGTGCTCGAACGCACTTTGGCGCGAATCCGGTACTCGCTTTCTTTTCTTCCTCCTTGTGTTATCGTCAGCAACAACTAGCGCTCCGCGATTCGGATAGCGCCAAAGTCGAATTCAAACAATGACCAGACGAAAGCAAAAGCGAAAAAAAATCCTCTCCTACTTATGCGCGTTACCCCTGCGCAAAGGCCACGCTACTCTGTTCCAATTTTTGCAGATGTCCCGAAGGACTTTTTGCTGCGGCAGGGTTCTCGCAGCGCCCCCCCTCAGAGGCCGCCTGATATCGCTCGGCTCTGTTGATTTTCCCCGCGAACCCGGCCTCATTCCTATCCGGGTTCTGACGACGCCTCTACAACCAGGCCGGCACGTGCTTTTTTTTTTTTTTTTTTTTTTTTTTTTTTTTTTTTTTTTTTTTTTACCCCCCCCCGGGTTTTTTCCCCCCCCCCCCCCCCCTCCTCCCCCCCCCCCCCTTCCTTTTTTTTTTTTTTTTCTCCTCCCCCCCCTCCTCCCCCCTCTTTTTTTTTTTTTTTTTTTTTTTTTTTTTTTTTTTTTTTTTTTTTTTAGAGCCTACCGCGAGTATCTATCCCCTGCCCCAGCCGTTCTCCTGCAGTACCCATGCTAATTTTCTCTGTATCTATCCAATTTTAACGGACAACCAGTACGCATCTTCCCTCTCTGAAGGTGCGTCTTCCAAACAGATACTGGACAACCTTTCCATTCACAGGTGTCCCACTCATCATGTACTCCATAAAAAAAGACCAACTTGCGGGTCTTCTGCACAGCTCAATAATTGAATACTCACCATACGAATATTCAGGATCCTCACATCCTTTTCACAAAACAGACTGCGCTTCCTTGCCTTATACTCGGCTCTCTTATCTGCCCAAGGGCAGGTCGCACGAGTATACCGGTGAGTAGACAGTTCACATTCATCCAGATTCACAAAGTAGAAGATACACCAAGCATTTTCTCGCGCATATTTCACACCAAGCCATCATCCATCAAAATAGGACCACACAAGTGAGAGTGAGAGTGATCGTCATATACAAAAAGTCTCGAGATAATGTACACTCAGGGATAAAATATCCCACATGAAATGCTTCCAACATACACTCAGCGGCAGAACGCCCCATACACAAATGTCCCCAAATTGTAACCCACTCAACTCACTCAAAGCCACACTCACACTGATGTCGTTCTCAAAATACAAGTTGGGCCTGTCTCTCGAAGCCTAGGCTCCCTAAGTATGTACAAACCTCATCTACCATGTCCCAGTCCTCAAGATGGCAGACTCAACAAAAATCCAACCCAAACTGCCTGACAAAAAGCAAACGACACCTAGGTCTACATAATGTCATTCAATCCTAACTCTAATCCTATACGCAACATGTCAACCATATAAGAAAACTCAGTCCTGGTCGCTCATCTCCTCCTGGTTTTGCCTATATAGCTGAGCTCTACCCCCATCTGCAGATCTCTCTACTCTCCTGCCCTGTCTATCATACATCCTGCCTCCTTCCTCTGTAACCTTCCCCTCAGCCTTGTCCTTTAGGAATTTAGGACATTGTAAGGCTGGATGCCCCTCCTTGGTACAGAAGAAACAGGATGTATCCAACCACTTTTTGGGCCTCTTCTTTCCCCTCTGAGATCCTGGCGATGATGGTCCTTCGCTGGCCTCCTTGCTCAACTCATGGCTCTGAGGCATATCCAAAGGCTCCTCTCGTGTCTCCACCTCCTGGGTACTCGATCCAAGTCGGTCCTCAACCCCCTCTAGCCCATACTTGGGCGTGCCCATCCTCTGGAGCCCGCCCTTGATGACACCCTCAGCCTCAATCCTCATCTCCTTCTCAAGAGGCTCCTCTATCCTTCGCTCGGGCGAAAACAAACTCGCCTCCTCCTGCATCGAGTGCACCGCCTCAATGAGCACGTCCATAGACCCCTCTGCTGAACCCTGAGCTGGCTCACTGCTGGATAGTGGTAATCCCTCCTCATCTGCCAAAGATATGACTGGGCCCGCCGCTGCTATAGGTAGCGTCGCGAGCTCAGTAGGGGCTCTTAACTCGAAAGCCTCTCTCTCTGCCTCCCTCTGAGCTCTCGCCTCTTCCGGCTCCAGGATGACTCTCCCCATAGGTGGCTCCTGGCGAGTCTCTGTTGTCGATGGTTGTCTTGGCAAACCATGTCCTGGTCGCCTCTGCTCTTCCTGTCGGCTACTCTGTGGCTCGTCCACCTCTCCCTGAGATCGTTGCCTTAGACTCTCGATGATAGCTGCCTGACTGGCCACCAATGCCCTGAGTTCTTAGATTTCCACCTCCACAGCCTCCAGGCGTACCCAATGACCTGCTTCCTTTATCTTCTTTCCTGCCAGATCGCTCTCCAATAGCAAGTGCTGGTCAAAAGTTGTCTCGGCTAGAAACTTGATTTTGTGATCCAACCTTTCTTCTGCCTTCCTTGCCACCCCAAGTCCGACTCTGATTGGCGAAGGAAGCTCCTCTCCTCTCTGCTCCCAGAAGTCCCTCYACATGTCAGGGATCTCCGGGGCCCTAGCTGGCGCGCTGGGTGGCTGACCTGAGAGTGTTCCTGCTGCCTCCGATCTCTGCCTCTCCTGCTACTGCTCCGGAAGCTCCCCCACTGCCTCCAACCTCTGCCTCTCTTGCCATATCTTGTCTATCCTCCTGGTTCTTCTCGCCCTCTTTTCCTCTGCTTTCTCTCCGGCTGGCACCCTTTCCCTCGTGCGGAGGTCAGCCCTCCTCGGGATCTCTGCCTCCATCTCCTTCTCGGGCTGACACGGCTCCTGGCGTGGCTCTGCAGGTGTTGGCTCTTCCAGGTCTGGGTGCTCCAGGGCATGAGCTGCTAGGTGTCTATCAATCAAGGTCAAGGCTTCTCTCCTTACAGTTGCCCTCTCTCTCCTCCTTTCTGCTCTCCCTTCTGGCGAAGGAGCTTTTTCTGATGACGGTAATGGGGCCTCCTCTCTCTGCAACCCCTCCCCTGCCTGGCGAGTGCTCCCCGGTGCATCCCCGAGTCTCAAACCCACCGCTGGTGTCTGAGGGGGCGTGTCCTCTTCAACCTTTATCACTTCCTTCCTTGCACGTCTCTCCTCATCGCCCAACCCTCTCTCTCGCTGAGTGTCCTGGACCTCCTCCTGCGGCACCTCCTCTCGTGGCACCTCCTCTCGTGGCACCTCCTCTCGTGGCACCTCCTCTGCCTGCTCTCCACGCTCCTCACCCCGAGGCGATGCTCTCCACTGAGAGATATCCAAATGCGCCTCCAACTCCCTCAAAGGTTCCTTAGACGCTGGCGGCTCCAGCTGTGTGCTTGCTGGCGACCTCCTCAATCCACCCTCGGTAAACCGATGGAACTCCACTGGTCCCAACCCACACTCTGGGTACGCGCCTTGCTCCTTAGCATCCGGCTCTGGTTCCTCCTCTCTCCTAGCTAGGCCCTTTCGTCCTCCTCGAGACGGTCTCACCTCCCTGGGCTCAGGGTCCCTCTGCCTCTGACTCCTCTGACGCCTCTCAACTCTGGGCTAAGGGGGCTCTGGCCGTCGAAAGGCCTCTCTCAGATGTGCACTACAACTCTCCCAGTCCCGGGTCATGCTTCTGACTTGGCTAGCTAGTGGCCTTTCCGCCTTCCTGGTCCAGAGTGGTAGCGTCTGCATCCAATCATCTCTCGGTATACCCTGCCCCTGCATGAACCACTTAAATGCAGGGATGAAGTCCGACGCATTTCCAATCTCCAGGCGGATTGGCCTGCCATCAGGTCCCATAGGTGAGGGTCGCAGCTCCTGCATCCTCCACTCCACCTCTGATCTCGTCGTCGCCTCCCTACGGATCCACGCGATGGGCTCCTCGAACCTGCCTGCTCCCCTCAGTCTCTCAATCACCAGGGCCACGGTCCAGCCCATACGCCTCGCATGATCCCAAAAGCTGTCCAGGAATAGCTCGATGTCCCCATCATCGTACACCGGAGTACTCTCTCGATGGTGAGACCCATGTCGCTCATATCCTCCTGATGCTCCCAACGGCCTCCGAGGCAGCCGTGTCCCCCTCCCTCCTCTTGGCATGACTGTCTTCGTAAAGTCAAACCTGCACAACAGGTGAAAGGAAACAACAGGCACACATTGGGGTAAGCAAACAGGTGACAATCAAGCAAGCTCAGACCAGACCATACTCATGCAGCATACAACCTATCTGACCTACATATCCTATCGCTTTTATTCTAGAGGTAGTCAAATCGTTTCTCTTACCTCTTCTCTCGCCACAAATTTCTTCAATCGCGTTCCAGATACCCAATCCTTCCACTCAGTCACATTCAACTCCTCAATCTGATACGCTCCGAAGTCTCCAACCCGTACGATCCGGTAGGGACCTAACCACCTCTTATCAAGTTTCTTGGACTACTGCTTTTCCAGCGATGAATCGTAGAGAAGCACGACGTCCCCAACTGCCAGAAAAACTTTCCTCACTCGAGCACACTGATCCCATCGAGCCTTATCATCCATACCACTTCTAGCCACTTGATCGGACACCTCCTGGATCCTTTCCTCTATCGCTCATATCTGTCGCGATCGAATGTCGAGCAATTCCTCAAAGGACAAGTCGACTTCCAGATCCTGGCGCCTCCAAGTTTTAAGAAAACTCTCGACAGGGAAGGTGGCGTGCCTTCCATACCACAGCGTCGCAGGTGCGTACTTGGTGGATTTTTTCACTGTAATGTTCTCGATGAAGAATGTCACCCTTAGGTACCTTGGCCATTGATTAGCTCTCCCTTCGGTCCATTTAGCCAGGAGACTCGTAATGGTATTGTGCCCTCTTTCCACCGGAGCGTTTGCTTGGGGGTGCGCGGCCGTCGTGTAGTTCGCTGCTACACCATACCTTAAAAACAACTCCTGCACCTCCTGGCAAGTAAATTCCGATCCCCTGTCCATTACGAACTCCCTAACGAAAGGATAACGCAGGTAGTACTCTTCGATGCAGCTAACCAAGACAACACCAATCTTGGTACGAATGACACGTCCGTCTGCAAAGCCAGACAGGTTATCGCGCCCATCAAAGATGTAGTTATAGCCCTGATCCCCAAGCGGCATGAAAAGTAAATCGAGATGCACTACAGCCCCCACCTCTCGCTCTAGCCTTGGATGCAGTGGCTCTCCTTGCCTCAAACGAGATCTCTCCTGACAGGGTATGCAGGATCGACAAAATTTCTCGACCATGTCCATCATCCCATCTCAGTAGTACAACTCACTTATCTTGGCATACGTGGCTTGTACCCCTCGATGCCCTCCTGCAATGCCATCATGAAGTGCTACTACGACGTCAATCTGGCGGTTCCTACCGCAGACGACTCTCCTGGGATTCCCCACCTCTCTTCTTACGAAGAGGTGACCATCTCGCACTAAGAAGCGCTGCAACATCCTCTGAGCCCTATCGCTTGCATCCCTTAACCGCATCTCGCAAGACAAGAGAAGCCCCAACTCTAGGTAGATCCCATCATACTCTTCTGCACGAAAGGCCTCCCTAATTTCCCCCCCTCGAACTCGTCGTCCTGACTCTCGGACACTTCGTCCACATTCCTTGCCGGGTTCAACGAGCCTGACTGGCCGAGGCTTTCCTGCAATAACATGTTGACGAGGAGATACATTTCTCCCATTAGATCCTCATGCCGTTCTACCTGGCCTGGTCCTTCCTCGATCGTTCTTATGTCTTCCACCAGACTATGCGAACTTGCCAGCGCCAACTCCATCATCCACTGAACATCCTTACCTCCCCAAGGATCTTCTTCTTCAAAGGGTTTGAGGACTAGCTCTGTCCTCCTTTCATATCCGCTCGGCGCTTGCCAAATAGGATAGCCCACACAGCTAGGCACTCGCGGCGCCCACTTGTTGATATGGAGACGGACATCTTCCTCCTGATCCAGGAATCCATCAACTGGGGGCATATTCTTCACTGCCTCTCCTTCCTGGTTATCCCAGTTGATACGACTCATCCCATCCGCCTGGTTCTTGCTACCAGGAATACGCTCCAACTCGAAGTTAAACATCCAGATGTACGTCAGCTATCTGGCAACCGTCGGATCCGATGGAACGTAATTCCTCAGAGAGTAGGCCAGGGCGGTTGGGTCCACTCTCAAAATAAACCTCTGGCCGAAGATGTAGTTCCGGAAGATCCGTAGACAGTGGAGGACAGCAAGGGTCTCCCTTTTGAACTGAGAGTAGTTTCTCTCTGTCGTACGGAGAGTCCGACTCTCAAATCGCAAGGGCCTTTTCTTTCCCTCCATGTCTACCTGAATTAGAACTCCTCCTAAGGCAGTTGGCCCCCCATGTGTTTCAACAATGAAGGGTCGCGTTTCCGTGGCATCATAATCTGGCGCTCCTAACACCAACCCTCCCTCTCGAAACTCCTCCTTCATTCTGACCACCACCTTTTCTTGCTCTTCACCCCAAACCCACTCCTGATCCTGACGAACTAACTTCCTCAGCTGCTCAGTCTTAGCGGCGAAGTTCTCGACGAAGGCCCTCCAAAATCCACACGTACCGAGGAAGCTCCTCACATCAGTTATTGAGTAGAAAGGAACTGTCCACTCAGTAATCTTGTCCGTCTTCTTCACATCCGGTCTTCGGCCCTTCTCGCTGCAGACGAACCCCAAGATAGTCGCTTCCCTCATGCAGTGTCTGGATTTGGCCCCGCTCGCCGTGAGGTTGTGCTCCTCAAGTAGACTCAGGACTTTATCGAGTTCCTGGATGTGCTTCCAAACAAAGCGCCTTACCCCTGGCAAGACCTCGTCGCTCTCCTTTATTGTCGGCCCCTTCACCGCCAAATCGTCGATGTATGGCTGTGTGATATGAGGGCTAACTGACTGCATAGTCTGAATCATGGCCCGTTGGACCATTGCTACCGCGTTGGTCCACCCTTGTGGGGCCACGTTCATGTGGATTAATCCTCGTGGCGTGTGCATAGCTGTCACCGGCTTATCCGGCGGGTAGACTGAAAACTGATTATATCCTGAGTAAAGGTCTATAAGTGAGATTATAGGCCTTCCAACACAGGATTCTGACAGAGCATCCACATTTGGCAGTCCTCCAGCATCCCGCACGGTTACTGCATTCATCCTCTGCAAATCTTATACCCACCGCAACGTGCCGTTCGGTTTGATGAAGCAGAACCACGGGGACGCATACGGCCCACTCGAATAATCGGCGACGTGCGTACGTATCTTGCCGTCGAGGTAATCCACCACTTTCTTCTCCTTGTCAGGATTAGGATATCGTGCCCCTCTCATGTTCCAAGGCTCGAATGGCACAGTGTGGATGCGGATCATAGGTATTTTGTCTACATTTAGCCTGCCACGCTCCTCGTCACTAAACGCATAGGAGCTGTCGGGCGCATCGGTCCGGCAGCGCACGGGGGCAGCACTGGACCCTCCCGGCAGCGTCATGCAGGAGTTGGTTTTTAGAACTCTTCGTCATAATATACATGGAGCTTCCACAAGCCGCTCCGGCCGGCCGCGCCAGCGATATCTCTCGCGAGCCCCTACGACAGGATAGGGCCTACGCGAGGCACGACTTACCTACACCTTACGGGAGCTGTCACCTCCCTTCGGTGGGCGTATCCCCGCCGAGCTACCAGTCCACAGTACGAAAGCTAATCAGTTGCAATCGCAGAGGTGGACCAGCCGAGGGCGTTTCTCGTTCGCTGTAGCATAGGGGGTACGCGCGGTAATACGCCTCTATCGGACCCGCATGCAAACCGACATCTTGGGGGGGCTGAGGTCCCAAGCGCGACTCATCGTCGGTCGACTAGGACGCATCCCATACACCACGCGCACTCCACTTTACGAATACACATACACACAAAACAACATATATACGAAACGACACAATACCAACAATGCGACAACGCTCCTAGCCCCTCGGTAGCCAACCCATAACTTTCCAGTGCGGAAATCGGATAGGCGTCGCGCGCTGAACTTAGTATAAAACCGCGCGGACGCAGGGCATACTCACTTCGACTTGCAATGCAGGCATACACAAGCAGTCGCAACGATGGCGTACTATCTAGTGCCCATAATCAAGCGGTCCCTCATGGATCCGAGTACCGCTTATGACACTCAAGTGTTAGACTTGAAATGTCGTGAGGGTCTAACCCTTCACGACATTGCACGGCTGAAGGAAAAGTCGTGCAGCCGCCGCTGCACCTTAGGCTCTCGACCTGAGTGTCTCGGTAGGTAAATCACATAAGCTCTTCGCGAGGGAAAACCCCTCCCCTGCAGAGCCTAGGGATTGGGATGTCCTGGACAAGGACCTCGAATCCTGGCCCAGGACGAAACGTCCGACTAAGAAAATCATCAAAAAGCAAGAGACAAAAATAAAAGGAGAGACCTCCCCTAAGCCCCTGAGTCTCAGCTTCTGAGCGAGCTCTAATGTGGGGGCTCTTCAACCCATGCAGACATTCATCCCAAGTATACCTATGTATACATATATAAGGGTTAAATATGTGACGATCACTTCTCATGGTTTCGCTGGGGTCTCTCACAATAATACGTATATGTGTGATTGTAGGCAACAAAGTCCAGAATCTGATTCACAGCACATACCGGCCATCACATCAACGAACCAAATCAACAGCCCACACACTACACGAAGTCAACCCCAACTACCTTCGACACTCATACCCCTCGCTTTAGCCATGCAAACCCCAAACCTCTTGTCCAACCAACCTTAATTAAATACTCAGCACCTTTGTTAAATGGCCATTCAATAAAAGTCCGGGTGAAACCTTAATAAAACAACGAAATCACCAGGGCTAAAGCCTTTTAGGTTGAGTGTAGAGGGAGAGTTGAAATTGAGTCGTAGACCGACGAATCGGCAACCGACCTGTTATCAGTGATAACAGTAAGTGATCCTCAAGGGATCAAGATGGATCTAGCCCTGAACTTGGATCAAATGATCAAAAGGACCTGTAACACACGGCAGATCAATCCCCAAGCTAAGATCATAAGTGTATGGAGAATACAACTCCATAATACATCCTCACTCAAAACTTCCTTATTAGCTAAATCTAAGTCTACTTTTAAGTCTGTGCTTAAGCTGAAGGTAGACCAACTGCAAAGTCTCCCCTATTCTGGGTGGATCACCTGAATATCGCACTAAGTAGCGCTTCCCGTAGGAAAAGTCTCTTTTCATAATTTTTATAAGCCGGGATATGAGAGCAGAAATAATCTCTAACTCTGGAAAGTCAAATTCTGTCTAACTCTCTGAATTAGTAGAAATTTGGGCAGCGCTCCCTTTAGAAAGCGAGACTTCCCAGATTTGTACTAAGTCAGATATGAAAGCAGAATTAATCTCTAACTCNAGTCAGATATGAAAGCAGAATTAATCTCTAACTCTAGAAAGTCAAATTTTGTCGAAACTCTCTGAATTAGTAGAAATATGGGCAGCACTCCCTTTAGAAAGGGAGACTTCCCAGATTTATACTTAGTCAGATATGAAAGCAGAATTAATCTCTAATTCTGGAAAGTCAAATTCTGTGTAACTCTCTGAATTAGTAGAAATTTTGGCAACACTCCATTTAGAAAGGGAGACTTCCCAGATTTACACTAAGTCAGGTCCAGAATTTGAGAATAACTTTGGCTTCCCAAAGTTCAATTTTGTCTAACTCCCTGAATTAGCAAAAATTTGGGCAGCAGTCCCTTTAGAAAAGGAGACTTCCCAAATTTGAACTAAGCCAGATATATGGAAAGGACAAGCTGAACTCTGACAAGTCAAAAGTTGACTAACTTCTTGGATTTGTAGAAATTTCGGCAGCGCTTCCCGTAGGAAAAGTGACTTGCCAAGATTTATACAAAGCCAAGTATAAGAAAATATCTCAGAAAATGCAGGAATTGACCTAGGTAAAAAAAAACGTTATTATTGAAAATGCAGGAATCAACACTAACTCATGTGGCTCTAGCACGTGGCGAGCAACTACAGCAACTACCTATTGTAATGAAACCCAAACAAACTAGTCATCTCATCCAGTCACATGCAAACCAAACCACGAATGTAAGTACTCTCACCCTCCCAAGTTCATTCCATATAAATAGTTCGTGAATCTTCAAGTTATTGAATCCTTATACCCATCTTACATAAGACATAGAGCTGGACCATTCGCCATGGAAACAATGCCCAACTTGTCTTTATGATATACACGAACAGGTTGCACAACTATTTTTTCTCTTCTTTTGGGCAGATGGCTAAACCATTCGCCATGGAAACAATACCTAGTCGCCCTGAGTTGTTTAATATCCAAAGATTTTAATATTTCTCTGACTTTGATAAAAAGAAAAGACAAATATGGGCAGGGGACTGAACCATTCACAGTAGAAACGATGTTCAGCTTGCCCCAAACTGTTTTTATTTATATTCTGCATTTTCCTTCTCTCTTTTTAATGATATGGCTTAACGCTGGACCATTCACAGTAGAAACAATGCCCAACTGCCAGTTCACATGCAAATATACATAAAGTACTTTCCTTTATACTTAGTTTAATTTATGTGCGTGGTTTTCAGGCTAAGCCATTCACCATGGAAACAATGCTTAGCTTTAGACCAAAAATCCTCCCTCAGAATAAAACAAGAATTTAAACCCTTTCAATCAGGCAAAAACCCTCAGAGTTAACTAGAGTAGCCAGACCATTCACAGTAGAAACAATGCCTGGTTCCCTAGAAAACAATAAAATAAGCATAGCAACCAGACCATTCACAGTAGAAACAATGTTCGGTCCTTCAGAAAACAGTCAAATAAACATAGCCCTGAGCCATTCACAGTAGAAACAATGCTCCGGCTTTGGTTGGCCCTGTCAAACGCATGCAAAACTGCCTTCCTTCCACCTTTCCCCCATTTCATACCTTAATCTGCTTTCAGTCAAACGTAAACTGAAACTTATGCTTCACTCTCATACATTTTTTCCATTCAATCTGATTAGGTCCTGAAGAGAAAAACAAAATCCATAGGGACAATTCATGCATACATCAATCATACTACAGGGAGATAGGCAAACATGGGTAATAGTGGGTCATACAGATAAAGATGATTTACCTGAAGGTTCCCTGCCTCCAGAACCCCTCCTGAGTTCCGGCAGAGCTCCCGCAATCGGTGGGTGGACTCCCCACAGAGTCTTGACGCGGACTTACGGGTTGCAATCCCGCTTGCCTCCTTCCTCTTGTAACGAAGGACTAGACTGAGAGTAAGAAGGGCAGAATGAGGAAATTTATAGCCGCTCAGATCCAAGAATGGTGCTCTCAGTCTCGCTGGAGAGGGCCTTGTAACCTTGGATCGCCTGAGGGCCCCGCAATGGCGGCCAATGTACCAGCTTGGTCAAAATTATGGGTCAAACGACGGAAAACCGCCTCCTTTGACAAACTCCCAAATCGCAGCAATGGCCCCCCCCCTCCTCCACAACCACTCTCCCAGGCTGCAGCAACTACCTTTTCCCACAACCGAACCACTCTCCTTGCATTACCGCACCACCCTTCACTCTAGACCGACTACCGCAGCAAGCAGCCTGAGGATAGCCGACAATAGTCAACGGCAGCAGATAGTAGCTTTTGGCAACCACAGATCAACGGTAACACGACAATTGCTGGAGGCAATCAGTAAACAAGAGTAGCGTAGCCTGCAGTAATGGCAGTAACCAGTGACCAGCCACAGCAACCACCAATGGTTAGGCAAAGAGCACGGTGGGTTCGACCACGATACTGCGATTCAAGCTTTGGCCGCACCATTACCTCACAGGTGGACACTCCAATTTATACTTCATGCAGGTAGACCTCCTCTCCGTCACTCATACTTCCCTCAGCCCCATCAGCGGCTGAACACAACCGGGTAACTCTCCGTCCCAGCAGTTAGCCTCACACTACTTCACTCAACAAGTCAAGCAAAGTCGACATAAATATTCCGCTGGAGTACGACCAGAACGCTGCGCTACAGAGGCGGGCTACGCTCCCTGATCGAGTAAACGCAGTCCGCCAGCCTTCCTGCTAGTGTGCAGCTACAAGCAACATGAGGCAGGTGCTCCAGCCCCGCGGCCTTGCTTCTCTCCGACTACGACCGGTAGGCGAGCAGAATCAAAAGAAATCTCCTCGAGAGGGGGGGGCCAGGCACTCGAGTGCGTACCCCSGTCCACCYCGTCCCTCTGCAGCCCGSCYGGCCTTYGCTGCTATAACGGGCAAGGTCGAATGAATCTCCCACTAGAACGCGGGAAGATACATTGCCAATTCGAAGCGCCCCGAACTCCCCGACTCCACCCCTTTCTCCGACTTGTTTCCCTCTGCTGTCCCCGAACGCAGCCCCTGTCTGTAACTCGAAACCGAGTCTCTCATAGGGGTACGACCAGGCACACCGGTCCGCCATCTACTACGAGGGCGTGTATAGGGAGGCGCCCCACCATCGTGAACTTATCTCTGCGCGTTGTCATAAGGTAAGTACGTCCTACCCTCCCCCTTTCTCTACACACCCGTCTATTACAGAGGGTTGTGCCTCGCTCGAGTTCGTACCAGAAAGAGCAAGACGAAAAAAACGAATGGATCTTCCGCTAAAGTGAGGGAAGATTCATCACCATTTGTAGAAATCTTCCCTGGCGCAGCCCAAAGTTATTACAGCCCCGAAACCGTAACTCTAATGCCAAATCTGACTTCACAGACCGATTCTCGAGCTCAAAAACTCTCGGAATCGAATCTTTACTCGCTCGATTTCGTGAAGGAACGGACGGGTTATTTATTTTTTCACTGCGCCATGCTTACTCGTTCGTCCCCTCCGCGCACTATATATATATATATATTTTTTCTAACTCCTATTCCACTACTCAATAGCCAAAACTAACATTCCCGCCGGATTCGCCCTATTGAGAAACCCCAAAAATCGAACTTTACTTCGACAAGATCGGTCAAGAAACGACCGAACTATCGCACCTTCTTCCTCCATTCCCTTCTATTCGCCATAGCTCCGCGTAGTCTAATTCTTCTTTATCTCGTCCTACACTAATCCTTCTTCAAAACTAACTTCATTTTCAGATTCGTCTGGGGTTAAAACCCCGGGATAGCGTCTTGCCCCTCCTGTTTCTACTATGGATCGAAAGATCCGCGTCTCCCTGACTGCGCCCTGTCCATTCCTCTCACCTCCTATCGTTTGCACTCCTGCGAATGAATCGGGACGCAGATAGCATCCGAGTGCATTCTCCCTCTGCGGTTTGTCTGCTCCCACTCACTGCCTAGCGCCTCGCTTGCCGCCTCGCTTGCTAGTCGTCCGCAGTCTCTCTCCTGCTTCCTTACTGCTGACCATGCATTGCCTTGCCATCCGCCATTACTATCTCCGAATGCACCCGGCGCCTACCACCGTCTGGATTCGTCTCCTCTTTCTCCCGACTAACACCGCCTAGTGCCACTCCCCCACCGCGGCCGACTGCTCAGCGCCTGCTAACGCAGCTCCCCACAACCTTAACGCTCCGAAGTGGACACCACAACGCTGTCGAATGATACAGGCAGTAGAAGGCGGTTGTAGGAAACGAGGTCCGATCTGCAGAATCTTCGGAAGGAACCAGCCACTAGACGGTTCGATTGGTCTTTTGCCCCTATATTCAAGCCTGACGAGATGATTTGCACATCAGTATCGTTGCGAGCTTCCCCCTCGCTGGCTCGTCGCAGTCCCTGCTAACTCTCTATCTCACCTAGCCATGCTATATTCTGCATACACCCGGCTGTGCGCCACGCCCGGGTTCACTTTCTTAGCTTTGCTCGTCCCCCCCCCCCTTGCCCCGTAGCGGCCTGTTACGGTTAGCACAGGGTTCGATAGCACAGCGGACCGGCCTTGGCTCGCCCTCCCGTTCCTGCCAGCCCACCGACCTTGCCCTTTTGTTACTGCGTGGTCCGACAATGTCCAAATGCCGAAGGAAGCAATCGGCTGCCGGTCCCAGCCAGCTTATGCCTATCATTCTTGCGCAGAGGCCATGCTAATCTTCTCTGTATCGTTCTAATTTTACTGGATGTCCCGAAGGACCTCCACTGTGGCATTGCCCTACGGCCCTTCCGAACTCAAACACCCTCAGGCCAATTCAAAATAACTGGTCCTATTCATCGAGTTTCATCATCTGGGCTCAAATACAGGTCTGTAGTTCAGCAGTTCAATGGTGTACCCGCTGAGATGGGCCTTTGAGTGCCGGCCTCGCCCACGGTGCCGCGTCCTAAGACAAGATGAGGCGCGACTTCGACGCAGCCACAAAAACAATTTGTAATTGCACTACATGCAACCCCCCCCCCCCGCGAATGCAACACTCCCTATGTGACTTTATTGCAGCCTCGTGTCCCTGAATGGGACGCGATACCATAAGGACCCGAAAATAATAAAACGAGAAAAGAAAAAAAAACAAAAAAAAAACAGTATACAAATAACTTAATAGTGGTGAGGATCAGCAGGGCTGCTGATACCTTACCAGTCCCGAGGGGCAGGCCCGCCGCCGCTCTCGCCAGCAAAAATCCGAGGGGGAAAGCCCCGTCGGACCCTCAACCCCTCGGTCTCCTCCGCGCCGCTTTGCTGCTTTCGGGCCGACGCCCGCCGGCCTTGATCCCCGAACCTCCGTAGTAATAGTCCGATGTCGTAACCTTAAGGGCTAAGCCCAAGCCTGGGGCTGAGTCCCGCAGAATACCATATAGGCAGTGCGGCGCGACGCTTTTGGGCCAACCAAACGGCTGCGCGGCTCCCATTTGCCCGCGCTGGTTTGCTTATACCATGGCATAACTACCCCGCGCGCCATCCTATGACACCCCGCTTACCGCACGAAATCGCACCGTTATTGTCGATGCCGTCGTCGGGGTCATTTCTCCATACACGCGCTTGACCTACTAATCAAAAAGAAAATATCCTTAATCCCTGCTTAATAAAAAATAATAATATCATCAAACGAAACGACCGAGGTCCGAGCCGACTCTTATGATCAACAACAGAAAAGAATCACGTGCGCCTTAAACCTGCGCGCTCACGCACTCGCTATTGTGGTCAACCACCCAATCAACGCAATTATAGACGCAGCCGCGCTTAGCGCGGTATACTTAAATTCTAGACCAAAACCGTTTTTTTTTTTTGTTTTGTTACTTGCAAAAACCAGGGCGGATACCCTTGTAAGGGTATTCGCACCGACAGCGCGATGCCTCCTCTTCATCAATTTCACCATCAATATCCGCTCCTGAGGCAATAGGAAGTCAGGTTCCCCTATAATCAACTCCCCTTCATTTCCTTCATTGATACGACATGGTCCTGCTAAAGCACTCTCCCTCATTCATCGTATCAACCCTCATTCCCTATCGTAATACGTTTCCTCGTCCTCTGTAACGAGGACGGGAACTGGGCGACACTTCTTGTCTACCGTCTTGTACCGCCTTTGGGAACCCTGCTTGAGCCGTCCCCTAAAAAAGGCCGACTCACAGATTGCGCCTGCGCGGACGCGGGGTTCCTTCTTCCGTCCGGAAGATGGTCTACCAGCTCCAATCTCCCAGCCTTAGGGCATTCCAGAACTTGGTCCCTCAAGGCCTGGATGACATCCGGATCCGCCATCTCATGTGCGGCCACTAAATCCATGGCCTTTCCGACGTCTGATAGGCTAAGGGAAAATGCTTTCACCTCTTTTTCTCCTTCCGGCTACGCCCGAAGTCTTCGGCGTTCGCCTTCCGATTCTTCGATCGTGAAGGATCCTGGGTTGGGCCGGTTCCTTATACTCCTCGGTCCTATATTCCTGCAGGTAATTATCCCGTAATTCCCGCAGGCAGGGTCACATAGGAGGAGGATCAGAGTACCGTCATGCTTGTTGAACATCACAGTTTCTGTCCAACTCAAAAATGACCTTCCTAGGAGGATCTCATGGTCCACGTCCGGCATGATGAAGAAACAAGCTCGGGCCTTCACTTTTCCAACCTCGATGAGTACATTCGAGGTTGTCCCACAAAACACAGCCTTGCAGCTGGCCCCGTGCAAAATACCGCAGTCAGATTGGTCTATATCCAGCCCGAATCTGATAGCATCCGCCTCTCGGATGATGTTCATTTCCGCCCCGGTGTCCACCATTGCTGCACACTTGGAGCCCTTCACCACTAAATCCGCCGTGCCGCAGGCCACGCACTTTCAATCCATCTTTGTGCCTGACTCCGCCTACTCTGCCTCCTTGGGCAGAATCGTGCCTAGATGGACGTTGGGCACCAAGCGCCGTGACAACCTCCCTTTCAATTCATCGCGGAGTCGCTGGGCTGATGCCAGGATTTCCTTCAGAGTCATGAGGTCATTATGCCCTTCTAGCAGCCGATCGATCACTCTCTCCACATCAAACCCCTCCTCTAACCGAACCGCATACTTCTTCCTTTTGGGCGGTCCGTCGCGCACGACTGACTCGACCTCTCCCCTGGCTCCCTTTTTCCTTGCCCGCTGCTCCGCTCTCTGATCCTCTTCTTTGCGCAGCCTCTCGTCCTCTTCCTCCTCATTGTCGTCATCCTCTACTTCCACAGCCTCCTTTCTTTTCCCCGGTTCGGGCTCCCTCCTCAGAGCCTCTTAGCTGGCACTGGCCTTGGCTTGATTCCTCGTTCGCGCTGCTTGTGCCAGCCGGGCCTGCGGGGTGAGGGGTCTCCCCATCATTCCCGATTGTGGGCACGACCCCACCACATTTACTCCAGGTCGCCCAGGCGCTGACTCCGGGCCGGAGTCATAGAGGAACACCTTGGGGACGTTAGACCTCCATCTCTTCACTTCGTCGCAGAGGTCTACCAACTTCTGCTGGTACCTTCCCACCTTGTTCAGTAGGTCCTCCATCTTCCCCAATAAGACGGATGGCGATTCCATCCTTCTTTCCTCGTCTTCATCATCCGATTCGATGATTATGGGCTCTTCCCTCCTACTTCCTCCACGTGGTCCTTGAGTCACTTCCTCGTCGCTCCCCACTTCCTCTACCCCAATCGGTGGTTCCTTCTTTTCCTGCCATAGCCTGAACGTGGCAGGGGGTGACGGCCCAGCTGCCGCCCTTCGTTGGGCTTCCGTTCTCACTCCTCCAAGCCTTCTGTCAATGGCCTCCCCAAACTGATCGTAAATGTTCTCATCCATGGTGGAGGAGATCATCCCGCTCCTCTCGTCTTCCCATCTTATGTTACAGAACCTTATGGTGTGGCCTTGCTGGTCACAATGCTGGCAGATGGCCGTCCTCCAGTCAAAACGGGGTCTCCCATACCCCTGACTTCCCTGATCCCCCTGGCCTTGATACCCCTGGCCTGGGTACCCTTGGCCTTGATTCCCCTGGCCTTGGTACCCCTGGCCTTGGTTTCCTCGGCCTTGACTATTCCATTGCCCTCCTCTTCCGCCGCCATTCCTGCCTCGCCCCCTTCCTCCACCCCTCCCTCCGTTGCCTTGATTGCCCTACCCCTGGTCCCACGTCCTGCCACGCTTCCCTGTGAACTGGGAGCGGGTGACGGTGGCGGGGCCACAGGCTGGGCCTGGGCTGCGGGGTAAATGGGTGGCGGCATACTCGTTTGTGGTCCGGCTAGTAGCGATGGGCTACCCCATGGTACGATTGCATTAATCACCGGCCAGGGCCACTGTCCGTAGGAGGGCGCCCCTCCTTGCAAGGGGTCCGTACTAGATGATGGAGCCGCCACATTTAAAGGGGTTGCTGTCAAGGCCTGCGGCGCCTCCGCTTTTCCTGATCCCTGTTCGCCCTGCGCCAAGTTACGCACTTTGCATTGGGCCTTCGTCAGGCGCTGCGGCACTGGCTCTTCCTCTTCCCAGAGCTCCTCCTGAACAGCCTCCTCAATCACCGACTCCTTTCCCTTCACTTGGACAACCGTTACTACCTTCATTTGCACCACTGGCTCTGTCGCATACCCCAGCTGTGCCAATATGTCTGTAACAATCCTTATTACCCCCATGGTCCCAGAGGCGGTCGCATCTCTTTCCTTTCTCTTTTGCCTTTGCAGGCGTAGCTGACGTTGCTCCACCTGGTCCAAGCATCCAACTTCCACCCCTCTATCAATGGTGGCCCAGGTGAGCCTGGTACTTCCCCCTCCATGTTTTGATAACTCAATGGCCTCCGATGCCGTGAGTAGCCCCAGGAAAATGGTGCAATGTGCCTCCTCTGAAATCCCATGAACCTTCCGTGCCTTTTTCTTGAACTCCTGAACAAAAGCCCCTATCGTCGTAAAATCCTCCTTGTTCATCGCCTCCAGGTCCGCGGTGGTCAACAATCCATCTCCCAGGCGGTACTTCCTTTGCATCCCTTCCTTGAACCTTTCCCAGCTACCTTGGGCCGCATCTATAACTTTCTTCACCTCTTGATGGTAGCTGTGGAGGACATACTGAAGGATGCGTTGAAACTTCACAACGTCCGACCGCCCGACCAAAGCTTGTTCCTCCCGCTCCAGTCATTCTGAGACTCTCTCTCCACAAAAATAGAACGTGTCGACCTTAGGAATATTGCTCGGGTTCCTTTCATGCCGGTCAATGGCCGCGATGAGGTCATCGAGCGTCAGACCCTTCTTGGGAGCACCCGATCCGCCGCCAGTTTTAGGCATCTTGACAGCCTTTTCTTTTCAAGCTCCCTGACAAGAGAAAAACAAGCACATTCCCTTATTCAACATTACACCTTGACCGGTCTATTCCACCTGCTTTACCTAACTCTTACTACATACTTTACTCAATACTAGCACAATCGTCCCTCATAATTTCCCCTAACTCGGGCAGGTAAACTTTCTCATCTACCCTTAGTCACTCTCATCATTTCCTTATGTCTTCTCTCATTCACCTCTCATACCCAGATGTCGTTCCACCAGGGACAACGGTAGGCTTTCCGTTATCCCCGGCAACGACACCACCTGTCGAGCGCATCGGTCCGGCACCACACCAGGGCAGCGCGGGACCCTCCCGGCCGCGTCACGCAGGAGTTGTTTTAAATCCTTCGTCGCAAATCACACATGTGGAGCTTCCTTAAGCCGCTCCGGCCGAGTGCGCCAGCCATACCTCTCGTGAGCCCCTACGACAGGATAGGGCCTACGCGAGGCACGACTTACCTACACCTTATGGGAGTTGTCACCTCCCTTCGGTGGGCGTATCCCCGTCGAGCTACCAGTCCACAGTACGAAAGCTAATCAGTTGCAATCGCAGAGGTGGACCAGCAGAGGGCGTTTCTCGTTCGTTGTAGCATAGGGGGTACGCGCGGTAATACGCCTCTATCGGACCCGCACGCGAACCGGCATAATGGGGGGCTGAAGTTCCAAGTGCGACTCGTCGTCGGTCGACTAGGACGCATCCTACACACCATGCGCACACCACTTTACGAACACAAAAATAAAACCCACACACTCACGTACGAAACAACACAACATAAACAACACGACAACGCTCCTAGCCCCTCGGTAGCCGTCCCATAACTTTCCAATGCGGAGTTCGGATAGACATTGCGTATGAGACTTAATATAAACCCTCGTGGACGCAGGGCTATCGCATATCGATTTGCAATGCAAACGTGCGCAATCAGTCGTAATGAAGGCGTACTATGAGGTACTCATACTCACGCGGTCCCCGTTAATCGCGAGGGTCGCGTTCGACACTCAAGTGTCGGCTGACGCGCGCCTTGAGGGTTAATCTCTCGACACTGGACAACCGCCATGCGCGGTTGAAGACCACACCTTCTTCTGCACCCTGTGCAGAGGGGTTGAGTGACAGCTTTAAGCTGTCGTGGCGGTCGAACATCAAGGGGTTTGACTTTGACGGCTGCCACGGACTTTAACGTCCAACTATAAAAACTCCAAAGAGCAAAAGATAAGGAATAGGCCGAAGGTTCCCTGCCTAGTAAACAAAATCATAGCCCTGGGTACCCTCCCTTTTTTTGCGCAGCGTTGGCGGCTTATAGCAATCTCAAACATTCGTCCATATGCGTCGGTCTCTTTGTAATCCCATAACTTTTTACACACTAGGGCAGTAAAACGTCGCGCGGGGGATTTTAATATAAAGTCGTGCAGCCGAGGGCCTATCTCATACCAACCCGCGATGCAGGCATACGCATGCAGTCGCAACAATGACGTACTATATAGTGCCCATAATCAAGCGGTCCCTCGTGGATCCGAGCACCGCTTATGACACTCAAGTGTCAGGCTCGAAGTGTCGTGAGGGTCTGATCCTTATCGACATTGCACGGATGAAGGAATAGCCGTGCAGCAGCCACGAGACCTCCGACCTTTGGTCTGAGCGTCTCGGTAGGCAAGGAAAATAGTCTATGCGCGAGGGAAAACCCCTTCCCTGCAGAGCCTAGGGCTTGGGATGTCCTGGACAAGGACCTCGAATCCCATCCCAGGACCAACGTCCGACTAAGAAAAATCCTTAAGGAGTAAAACCAAATAAAAGGAAGGGCCTTCCCTAGGCCTTTTTTAGTCTGAACCCCTGAGCAGGCTTTTAGTACGGGGGCCCTTTAGCCAATGCAAGTATTCATCTCAAATATACTCATATATATGCATATATAACAGAGCGAAGTATGTGACGATCACTTCTCACAGTCTCATTGGGGCCCTCACAGCCATACGTATATATGTGATCGCAGGCAACCACATCCAGAATCTGATTCATAGCACATACCTGCGAATCACATCAACGAGTCAATCAACAGCCCACACACTACACGGGGTCAACCCCAACCATCTTCAACACTCATACCCCTCGCTTTAGCCATGCAAGCCCCAACCTCATGTCCAACCACACCTTAATTAAATACTCTGTACCTTTGTTAAATGACCATTCAATAAAAGTTCAGGTAAAACCTTAATGAAACAATAAAATCACCAGGGCTAAAGCCTTTTAGGTCGAGTGAGGAAGGTGAGTTGGAATTGAGTCGTAAACGGACGAATCGGCAACCGACTTGTTATCAGTGATAACAGATAATGGTCCTCAAGGGATCAAGCGGAATCTAGTCCTGACCTTGAATCAGACAACCCAAAGGACCTGTAACACAAGACAGGTTCAATGCCCAGACTAAAATCATCAGCATATGGGGGATACACCTCCATAGCATACCTCCATATAACACTCTCTAGCGCCACCTGTCGAAAATAATATAAATCCTCTGAAAAYAGRAAAATTTCGGCAGCGCTTCCCGTATGAAAAGTGCCCTCTCATAATTTATATAAGCCTAGATATGAAATCAGAAATAATCCTTGACTCTGCAAAGTCCAAATTTTGTCTAACTCCCTGAATTAGCAAAATTTTGGGCAGCACTCCCTTTAGAAAAARAGGATTCCCAGAATTTTACTAAGCCATATATGAAATCTAGACAAGTTGAACTTTTGAGAAGTCAGAAATTTGACTAACTCCCCGGATTAGCAAAACTTTGGGTAGCACTCCCTTTRGAAWAGGAGGCTTTCCAGATTTTTACTAAGCCAGATATAATGAAAGGACAAGTCAAGCTTTGACAAACCCAACTTTTGACTAACTCCCCGAATTAGTAAAAATTTGGGCAGCACTCCGTTTAGAAAAGGAGGTTTTCCAAATTTTTACGAAGTYAGAAAGACAAGTCAAGTTTGGACAAGGCAAAATTTGACAAACTCTTTGGATTTGTAGAAATTTCGGCAGCGCTTCCCGTAGAAAAAGTGGYTTGTYAAGATTTATACAAAGCCAAGTGTAAGAAAARATTCCAGAAAATGCGAAAATGGACCTAAGTAAAAAAAACTTAGCTTAGAAAATGCAGGAATTGAAACGAACTCCTATGGCTCTAGCACGTRGCGAGCGACTAAAATAACTACCTATCAAACTGAAACTCAGACTAAKTAGTAGTCTCACTCAGTCACATGCAGACCAAACCACAAAGGTAAGTACTCTCACCATCTCAAAGTCAACCTCAACAAACAATACTTCATGATCTCTTAATGATTTAACCTATTAACCCTTGCTTACACAAGGCATAGGTCAGGCCGCCTGAACTTACRGAACARCTCAACTTAGCCAGGTCTAAAGTGAGAATACCTAAACTTATAGAGCGTTCTGACTTGGCCAAATATACACAAACAGAGGGCACAACTACCTTTCTCTTCTTRGGGCWYATGACTAGACCACTCTARTCGCCCWRGACTGTTTAAAGTATCCARGTTATAYATATTTATYTTTACCTTTGTCTTTTAAGGCTGCATATRACTGAACTAACTTAAGTTCAGCCTGCCCCAGYTTACCATCAATTTTATTCTTAGTTGTACTCTCTTCAAGTTGTGATACGGTTATAATYAGACCACCTAAWYTTAYAGAWMAGTYTGATTAGCTCRTTCTTAGATARAGTAGTAATAAAGTATAGCCAAATTATAACCATTGGGTTSCAGCATRTGCGAGGCYTTGAGCCAGACCCCCTGAACTTACAGAARGGCCTTAACTCTCTKCYAGATTCGTTTCTATCTGAKCCATTATGTGTGTGGCATCGAGTCAAACCCCCTRAACTTACARAASGGTYTGCCTCTYGCCAARATTAATTCTTCAGAATAAAGAGCAGGAAGAGACGGAGCCTCCTGAACTTACAGAACAACYCGGTCTCCTCGTTCAGAAACCAAAGAAGCAAGTAAAATCCCAATGAAAACAAAGCAACCCAAGGCACCAAAACKTATTGAGCGCCCTGAGTCCTTRGAAAATCAAACACAGTCAAACCCCTCATAGAGCAATTAGGCCACCTGAACTTACAGAACAGCCTGACCCTCCATGCAAACCATATCACTGGGTCTCCCCAAACTTATGAGGACATCYCAGCCTTCARAGTAACCAGACCCCCTAAACTTATAGAAGGGTCTGACTTCTCCATGCAAAACCAAAATAAAACAAAGCACAGGAGTTCCCCAAACTTATGGGGACTCCCCAGCCTTAACGACCCGTCAACCATCATGCAAATCATACCCCCATCCTGCCTTTCCCCTAGATGCAGTTCTTTTCAACAGTCTGACTTCATACAACCAACAAAAGTTGAAACTAAGACTTGAGCAGACATTCCTTACTTAGTATTGTTCAGTGTCTTGAAAGTCAAACCAAAAATAAAGTAAGGCTGCACGTCATGTATTCAGTCAAAGATGCATCAGGTAATACAAATAGGGGTTATAGGGTGGGTGTATAGAGGGGAAACGCAAAGGTTACCTGTCAATTCTCTGCCTCTAGAGCCTCGCCTAGGCTCCGGCAGAGCTCCCTCAATCGGTGGGTTGAATCCTCACAGAGTCTTGATGCGGTCCTACGGGTTGCAATCCCGCCTGCCGCCTTCCCCTCAGAACAGGACTAGACTTAGAGTAAGAAGGGTAGAAAGAGATGGTTTTGAGACTCTCAGATACAAGAGGGGTGCTCTCAGACTCGCAGGAG